ATAACCTCTTCACAAAATACCCCCCAAATAATATACCCACTGCCATACAATATACCCGGGGGGTATGAATCAAATTTCGATCACGTGGGTTTTACGGTATATATATATATATATGTACTGTACATATATATTTACAAATATATAGTATTATTGTCAGATCAATATCTACAATAAAGTTCATAGAGACAAATAATTTATTAATCTTATGATTTTTTTTAACATTCTATGCAAGAAAGTTGTCGAAAGAATAACAGTATATATTGTGAGGTTACCCAATTATCGAGGTTTTATATAAAAGGATCATCGATACGTTTTTCATTGACAAATCTAACTCTTGCATTTGATACATTTATTACCATTATGTTATATAAAGAAACATTTATATTATTGATTGGACTATGCGCTGTATTAACTTTTTGGCTTCGGGATGCAAAAAAGGCTATAAGCTTACCAGCAGAAAATGAGGGAGGATACAATTACTTTCGGTTTAATTATTTGACAATATATCTCCTTGTAATGGGTAATTAAAAACCAATTATCGAAATAACTGATAAATACTAAATATTTAAATTAATTCATACAATGTTAAAACAGCTGGTGATTGGCTTCAAGGACCTTATATATATGCAGTATACAAAAGTTATGGATTTGAATTAAGCCAAATCGCGATTTTGTTTGTAACCGGATTTTTGTCAAGTGGCATATTTGGAACCATAATAGGTTCGGCTGCTGATAAATTGTAAGATATTTGCTTTATTAGATAAAGGCTTTCTTTTACCGTATCGCTCATTAAATGTTGAATATGATTTGTTAGTGGAAGGAAAAAGTTTTGTTTGCTTTTCACGTTGCTTTATTCTTCAGCTTGTTTTATCATTCTGTCCTCGAACTTTTACATTTTATTGATTGGAAGGTTCGTTATAATCGCTGATCCATTCGCTGATCCGTGCAAGATTATTTATATTTCATTAAGAAATAACTAATAATTTGTCTGCAGGATTCTAGGAGGAATTAGTACATCACTTTTATTTTCGGTTTTTGAAGCCTGGATGGTCAGCGAGCATTTTTCAAGAGGTATGAAAGGATCAGTAGAATGCAAAGCAAAGACGTATTAATTTAATTTTACCTGATTTTTCAATAGGTTTTTCATCGCAATCACTTTCCGATACGTTCTCTAAAGCAACTTTTGGTAATGGTTTAGTGGCAATATTTAGTGGATTGCTCGCAAACTGGCTGGTAGAACGTCACGGCGTTAGTTCGCCTTTTTTGGCAGCAATTGGTTTTTTTGCAACTGCTGCCATGGTGGTAATACTTACTTGGAAAGAGAATTACGGGAATACTTCTGAAAATGTAACGTTATGAACAGTTTTCATTAAACATTAAATTTATACAATTAATTACCTTTAATTTGATTACTCTATTATTAGACAAATGCATTTCAAAGTCTTTTTCAGGCTCTAAAAGTTATTATGAGTGGTAATTAATTGTCTTGACATTTTCGGCTTATTCTTCATAAATGATTTCATTCTAACTTTCTAGCTCATTTAAATAAGATTCTCATGTCCTTGCAATCGGAGCTGTCCAGTCTCTTTACGAAGCATCGATGTATATTTTTGTTTTTTTATGGGGACCGTTTTTAGAAAGCCAGCATGGTATTTCGAATGATTCAAACTTACCTTTTGGTATGATTTTCGCTAGGTATTATCATAAAATTTAAAATCTCCTTTCATATTCTGCAATTAGTCACTTATTTATTCGGAATTTTTTGTCATGCAACAAAATAGTTTTATGGTTGCCATAATGATTGGATCTTTGTTTTATGGGCATTTAAGCGGTCCAATGAATATTCCTTTATCCAGCATAGCGAGTGGAACATTTCTTATCGCATCAATATCATTATTTTTACCTTTACTTATTGAAGTAAAAAAAATTTTTTTATAAAATCTTGATAGTGGTTGTTTTATTACTATTTAATAATCTTTATTCTCTTTGTATAGAATGAATTCTTGTTATTTATTTTATTTATCGTATTCGAATTAACCTGTGGTCTTTATTTTCCGTTAATTGGAACACTTCGAGCAAAAGTGATTTCTGAAGACATAAGAGCTACCGTTGGAAATTTGTTCAGAGTGCCATTGAACTTGATAGTAGTCTATGTTTTGGTACTTAATTAAACTATAATTGATATCCATTATGGATGTTAATCCATCAAATACCTTATACTAACAATTTATTTGTGTTTCAAAGATTTCGGATATTTCTATTTCAGAACAATGTCTTTTTTGTAGTTTCTTACTTTTTGTGGCCTTAATTTGGTCATTTTGGCTTCCAATGGTAGGATTTCTCTCACACTTTGTTTCGTTTTACGTTATCATAAATTTTTTTTTCAACAAATAATTCAGCCTATATTACGTTATATTACAATTAATTAATTAATTAATAGGAGTCAAGTTCCAAAAAATCAGCAAAGAGGGTTGCCAAGATCAAAAGGTCTATTGAAAAGCAGAGGAATGATTAATATTTCTGTATAAAAATTTTTTTCCTCATTTAAAAGATTGCGCTTTAGTATATTGTGTACTTGTAACGTTTTTTAATTTGTTTAATAAAAGTGAAATATAAACGAATATATTGCACCTAAACTCCTAGATACTGATTAAATTTGTTACTCAAAATATATAATAATTACGTATCAGATATATATCTAGATAATCTAATAATAGTCTTTATCAATAAACCGTTTTTTATACTATTCCAATCACCATTGTGAATAGATTTGATTATAGGTATCGAACAAGGATAGTATTATCATTATTTGAAAAAAATTTTAATTATTTTATCCAAATTGAAACATTTGTTTTGAAATAATTATAATTTTAATTCTTACGATTTGATGTTATTAATTGAATGCAAATTTATACAAAATATGTATATGTTTAGCAATGAAATAGCTAATGAAATCTTAATTTTAATTTTACAAACTTTGGAAATTGTCTAAACATGACCAAAAAAAAAAAAAAAGTTACATATATGCTATATATAATTCTTTTTAATCAATAAAGTAAATTGACTACAAATATGTAATCCAAATCATAATAAAAAAAAAAAAAAAAATTATTTCATTATTTTCTAGGTTGAATCACATGCTTTTCATGAATTTTTTCATGTCGATGAAGATTACTAATAACTGAGAAACAACGGCCACATCCTTCAAAACTACACTTAAATGGTTTTTCGCCAGTATGAGTGTACGTGTGAGTTTTCAATTGACTGGGTCGAGTGAACAACTTTTGACAGTAATCACACTTATACTTTCTCAAAGGTGTAGTCGACGCAACTTTTGAACTATAGACAGTTATCATTGAAGATTGTGGTAATGGCGAATGCATTACTCGTGGAGGATTATAACGCATTTGCTTAGACCTTAATGACTGAGTTGAAAAATGAAATTGATCGGTCATAGGCGAATAATCATGTGATAACGGCATGGGTGTAAAACTTTCTGCACGTGGAGGAATTCCGTGTTGATAATTATAATTCGCGGAAAAAGGAAGGCTTTGCGGGATAAAAGTATTTATACCAGATGGTTTAACCATGGAAGGATCCGTAAAGAATACAGGGTCTATGGCCGATTCGTTATATCCTTTTACTGGTTTAACGAGTTGCAAACCGGAGAAAGTAATCGACGAATTTAAAATTAAAATTAAAATTAATTCATATAAAATTAACGAATTAGCATACCGTTAGAGATGAGAGGTGATGGCGAATAAACGAGTGGCTCGGGTTCATGGTCACCATTGAGGAAGGTAGGTGGCGAAGGGGCAGGAGACTTGTGAGCCATCATTTTTCGGAGCTAAAAGATTAATCCGTGAATATTAAATCTTTTTTGATCGTCAGAATGGGAATCTTAAAGTCGAATTGATCAGGATCCTTCCACTGCCGTTACAGGGACGATTTTAAAAATTCGGGGTCAAAAACGTGCGAATTATATTACACTCAAAAACTCACCAAAACTTCAGTAATACACAATCCAGTCAATCAGGTCCAAGCTACTTTTTTTATATGAGAACCGACTGGTGGATGTGTAGAAAGAAAGTTGAATACGCAAATAGTAATAAAGTGCAACGTGGGCTTCTTTTTAAGCAAAACAAAAATAATTAAGATAGGTTTTTGTACGTGTTTATATGGTTTTATGATCATGTACAGATATGCAAGTACATTTGTTTATGCTGCGCCAACAGTTAATATATGTCATAAACTGTTGTTGTGCATAATTTTACTTAATTTGACTACGTATCACAAATATCACAAAGTAATCAAGTACGCGTGATTTAATTGATTAGCTGATTACGTATTTTATAGTAGTAATATTACGTCAGAAAGGCAATAAATTTGCAATTGATGTTACATAAGATAATCCGAATAAATTAGTCAATATTAAGGTGGTTCGTATTCTTTTTTTACCTTTCTGTTTGCATGCGCTAAAAAATTAAATGCCATTATTAATTTTTCTTTTTTTGATAAATTGTTACGATTATGTGAAATAATTTGAATAGTGGTATATAAAATCTTACTTGTGCTCCTATGATCATTGTCAATGAACCTCATCAACTGGGATCCTTGTACGTAATATAGTTAAGCTTTTACTAATGCGTTTTAATTAATTAATATTTGAATTTTATATATATAAGTTATATATTTGTTGACGGTTGATTTTGTGGTATTTTTTATTCAGTGATTCTTAAAAGTTTTTCTAACATTTTTTTTGGTGCCTCTTAGTGAATTTTTTCATAATTTTTTTTTGTATAAGTTTTTTTTGTTAAAATGAATAATAAAAATTTTTCTAATAAATTTTTATTAGCTGATTATAAATGCAAAAAAAAATGTAAATTTGGCACAGGGGTTGGTCCCGGAGGTCGATCTCTAGGTCCGTTGTTGCTTAGTATAAGGGAGCCCCGTCAACCGATGAATGGCGTGCCTATCGACATGCTTGGGAAGATCTATAACGATCTCCATATCCGGTGATAATATAGAATTGAGATCCATATATGCATTATATGCTTTAAGAGCCTTCTGATCGAACTCTTCGAGAAGAAACTCAAACTGGCATTCAAAATTAATGCATGTATGTATGAATATTCATTAATGCGTGTACAGATGAATACTCTCACAAATATACTTGCTGGGATTTGGGTGGGGTTTTGATTTATAAACAAACGACTCGATTATACTTACTTCTTTAACTTTCTGTAAGATCTCCTCTGTGTATTCAATTTCTTCCTCCTCTCCGTTCTTATTTTTTCCATCTTCTTTTACCTTCTTACTTTTTCCTTGGCTTTTACCATCCATAATCTGTGGATGGTCTAACTTTCTCACTGCAGTACGGCGTTTTGAGATTTGATTGAGTCCGTTATCAATCGGTTCTTCTTTCACGACGATATCGTTAGGAACAAAGGCATTCTTTGGCTCAAATATTTGACTTGTTACAATAACATTTAACTCCTGGTTGTTAACATGTTCTCTATCCTCTGTATTTTTATCGTCAGAATCGTTTTGTGCTTTATTTTTTTTTGTTTTTGTAAATCGGATTTTTTTTTTTTTCTTATTAATAATTGAACATCGATATCCTAACCAAACATAAAGTATTCTTGTGCTCACGTACAATCAGCATAAGTGTCTTGAATATTAGCAATAGCTGTTGAACTTGTTGAACCTGTGCCATTTGATGGATTTGTAGGTGGTAACGAAGAAAGCCAATCGCGAACACATCTTGAATCCGGAACTATTGATAATGGTTCTGTTTCAAGTCTTGGAGAAAGTCTCTCTACTTTAATTTTTGGTGATGCACCAGAAGTGTCGCTTCTATCGTCTCTTTGCTTCATTATAACAAGGTATATGCTTGCAGGGTGATTTTTAATGTAACCATTTATTTACCCACGTACACACGTCGATTTTTCTTTGCGTTACAAATAATATTTGGTCAAACAACTCCTGTCCGGTTACACGACGACTGGCCCGGATGTTATTATGCTACGTACGTACCAACTTTAGTAAGTTCAAAAAAAAAAAACCATCCCGTAATTAATACCGATACAACTTTATACACAAAATGCTATCTCATTAGTACTGTAATTCTTGGTGGGTCTCTTACATTTTTAATTATCAAGGCCTAAATTTAATTATCATCTAGCACTGCTTGTAACACAGGGTCGCATTCAAAGCTCTTTTTATTCTTTAAATAGATTAGTGTTCGGGGCAGAGTTAGCAATGGCTATACTTTTATATAATTATTTTTAAACTATTTTTAACTTAAATACTAATATTTACGTATTACAAAAATATACGTGGTTTTGCACTATATATATTATGTTTTAATATTTTTTACTAAAACACATCTATAGTGTTTAATTACCTATTATATGTTATAGATATGTCAATTTTTACAAGTTCTGTATATAATGATTGAAATGACAAATAAAAAAATTTTTTAAGTATGATTTTGGTGAATTACCTTAGCACATTGATTTCCAATTTTATATATGAAATTTCTGCCTATAAAATTTGTACAAATCTAATCCACGTAACTATTGTTTTGGTAGACAATTACAGTCAGACCTTCCTAAATGCATATTTCTAAAATTCTTAGTTTATGAAAGATCTCTCTAAAGGAAGGGGAAGAACAGAAATCAGCTGATTTTTTAGGGAATGGGGGTTTGTGATTCGATCAGGTTCTATATTTTGTAGTTAAATTTAATTGGTTAATATTTGAATCAGGGGATATAGCCTCTTAGTAACTTGAAATCATCTGATTTCTGTTCTTCCCCTAAATGCATGGCCTTATTTGACCCCAACTTATATAATACTTATAGATTTTATCTACCTAAATAACTGTATATGCATCTATATATATCAATTTTCAATTTTTAATCAATGTGCTAAAGTAATCAAGTAATTAAGAATAGGGTGTCTATAGATTATTTTTATATGATCTACGTAGCAAATTAAAATTTTATGTAGATTGCAAAATTTGTCTCTAATAAAACTTTTTTAAATTATAACTAATATTCACCAAATTTTTATAGTATTTAATTTGTGATCTCTTATTTATAGTAGTAAAATTATAAACACTATATTTTTTAAAAAAATTTAACTTCACATATTGATAAAAAAAACTTAGATAGCTTCAAATTTACTTAGGTTGCACAAAAATTACCAATTCTGATTAGTCAAATTTATTGTTTTAACAATTTTAATTGGCTAATCACATGATTTCTTATATAAATTTTAATTTTCATATAGATCATATGAAAAATAATCTATAAACACCCTATTCTTAAGTATTTAAGTATTCAAATATTTATAATATTTGCAAAAAAATTTTTATTTTAATTTTTTTTAATATTAAAATGGCTTTTTAGCTGCTTGCTTTTATTCAATTATTAGATTAATTTACTTATTATATAATAAACTACTTTTAAGAATAGTCTGTATAATATATACAGTATATTAAAGAGTATATACTAGTTATATGTGCAACTTTTGGTTGATTATTTTAGTTTAGATATATATCAAATAAGAAAATCACATTCTAGAATAATCTACAAATAAATACTTGAATGTAATTGGTTTTTTCTTTTATAAATGTTATATAATTTAAAAAAAATTTTTTTATTAGTTAGTAAAATCAAAATGGTTTTGAATACATAATTTAGAACGTCTAGTCTTAATCATTCTAAAAAATTCCATATGATAACCTTTTTTAGCTAAAGTAAATGAAATGTTAAAACTAGATATTTACTTTATATAGAAAGTTAAAAACCCTTGTCAGTTAACTTAGAACAATCTTAAAAGTTTGTTTTTATATTTAAATAAAGAATTAATAAACTATTTATATTGTTATTGTCCGGAGCGAAGCGGAGGACTTACATGTTTATGTGCTTTGATGACTGAAATTATGATTTTAATGCATCTATAATGATAATATCAAAAACGTAGTTTCAGCATTTTCTGTTTGTAATGCCCCTGAAAATTTTGATCTGCGATATACATGACCAGATTTTTCAGGGGTTAGGGCCATTAATTGAATGCTGTTATG